AGTACTGATTGTGTTTAAATGCAGGCCAAGGTCTTTAGGCACTGCACCCAGTGTGCCAATCACCACTGGGACCACCTTGACTGTTTTGTGCCAGTCTTTGCAGGTCAATCTTTAAATCCTCATATCGTGTCAGCTTTTCCAGTTGTTTCTCTTCAATTCTGTTGTCACCTGGGATTGCAACATCAACAATCCATACTTTGTTTTTTAACATGATCGTGAGGTCAGGAGTGTTGTGTTACAAAACTCTTTCTGTCTGAATTCAGAAGTCCCAGATTATTGTTGTTGTTGTTGTTGTTGTTGTTATTTGATACACAACAAGATTAGTACACAGCCAACTAGATTACAAAGGCCCCTTCAGGGAGATAGAGTGGAAGATAAATAAAGTATTATTATTATTATTATTATTATTATTATTATTATTATTATTATTATTATTATTAGAAATACAACAAGATGAGTCCACGTCAGACACTCTGCTGACTGTTGTATTGGATCACACATCGGACACTTCCCAAGTGCTTAGGACTGTGTGATGTATCAGCAAATAATGTGTCCAGATCCAAGAAGGGTGGCATTTTGCAGCTGACAGATGGTAATTTTGTCAGTGCTGATTGTTTTTAAGTCCTGGACAAGGTCTTTAGGCACTGCACCCAGTGTGTTGATCACCACTGGGACCACCTTGACTGGTTTGTGCCAGAGTCTTTGTGCTCTGCTTAGGAGGAAGACCACTGGCAAATGACAGTGTCCTTCTTGAGAAGAACGTGAAGGCCTATGGAATAGTTCAGCAGTTCTCAAACTGTGCTCCGAGGAGCCCTTGGGGCTCCAGAAGAGGTGCTAAAGGGCTCCACAGGCTCCAAAGTTGGCCAACTGAAACATTCACACCGACCTCCAACAGACAAGAGTTCTTTCTCCCACCGTGGACATTATTGCACAGGTATATAATCCCCACTTGCCTAGTTTCCAACAGACCTCACAGCCTCTGAGGATGCCTGCTATAGATGTGAGTGAAACATCAGGAGAGAATGCTTCTGGAACATGGCCACACAGCCCAGAAAACTTATAGCAACCCAGAAATTCCAGACATGAAAGCCTTCGACAACACATAGACCTACGGAAGTGTGCTCTCTAGAAACCTTTAGATTCCCCAGTTCCCTTTAGACAGAGGACCTAGAGATTCCAAGAAGGTGGGTAAAGGTAAAGGTAGTCCCCTGACATTAAGTCCAGCCATGTCTGACTCTGGGGTGTGGTGCTCATCTCCATTTCTAAGCCGAAGAGCCAGCGTTGTCCGTAGACACCTCCAAGGTCATGTGGCCGGCATGACTGCATGGAGCGCCGTTACCTCCAAGAAGGTACATCTATATAAATAAAAATGTTATGGTCGTTTGTTGAAGTAACTCAAAAACCACCGGATGATTTGACACCAAATTTGGACACAATACACCTATCGGGCCAACAAGTGACCATCACTCATAAAAACACTGGAAAACACATCAAAAGAGACTTAAAAAGCCAAAAAAAACCCAAAAATTACATTACAACACATGTGCAAAACCACACACAAAACACATATACACAAACTGGGCCACAGCAATGTGTGGCAGGGGACAGCTAGTATTAATTAAATCCACAAATAATCAAACTGCTCAAAGCAAAAACCCCAAACATGCAGTGTTGACTCTAGAGGCCTGTCCTTCCCACCTTAGGGTCTCAAAACATATTTTAAAATAATATGCTCATGTTGGGTGCAGTGGAATCTAAGTGTCAGCGGGGCCTCCGACTGTGAATAATAGAAATATCTGTATCACATCCTGTATGAGCACATCCGCATCCCACGGCTCTGTCGTGTTAGACGCAGCAGTGGGCTGCAGAAAAGTCAGCTGAACCTTTTGTGCCAGAGCAACCTTTCGCTCTTTGTCTATTGCAATTATAAGCAAAGCAAAAGAATTAATAAAAAATATATGCATCTTCAGTGGCACGCGGCATAAAGGAAGAGGGCCGGGTCTCCTGCTGGCATAATCACAGCAGCCTGACAAGCAAGATTGGAACCGTGGAGGGTGTGCCGGTGGAGGCTATGCTTCGGTTCCAAGATAATAAAGCTTAAAGCTGTGCTGGCTAGCTGTGACCTTTTTCAAAAATACAAACACAATATCTAATTTAAGAAAAACAGGAGCCTCCCAGGGAGAGACACGTTATCTGCAGAAAGCTAAGGGGAGTCAGCCTCACCGGCAACACGGCTCCATTTGTGCATTCGCTTTGTAATTACTGCTGTACAGTCAAGCTAGAGATTTAGTGCACAAAACAGTCCCTGCAATTCTGTCCTCTTCACTCTTGAAAGATGATTTTGAATATCAAAGCGCCTGAGGTCTCTGCGGTAAAACAGATGCACGCTCTTTGTAAAATTTCATGGCCTCCAATATCTGACACCAGGTTGTTGGGAGTGTCGCCAACCCGGCTGGGATGATGATGGTGTTGCTTCAGAGGCGGCAACACAGAGAGTCAGGACATGTACGGCATCTTTGGTGGCAACCACAGGACACTAAACCAAAGCCAGATGCCAATATGCAAAGCATTGTGAGGGGATTTGAAGGGGGGTACTTATCCCTCCTCTCACCTGCTGCATTTCACTCTCAACGCCTCCTCTGCAACTTCATGTTCCAAAACATGGTTGCCAAACAAGTGGGGGAAACAGGCCAAAGAAGGTGTTGCAGGAGAAAAGGAGCAGGAGGGGAACAAATAAACACCATTCAACATCAATTTATGAAATTTGCTGCGACAACAGGTGGTGACAGTCACCAGAATGAACTTCTTTTATGCACCAAGAATGGAATAAGCCAGGAATAACATGCAGCTATTCCAAAGACATTTTTTGCCATACCTAACACTACTCTGATGTCTCTAAGGTAAGGTAAAGGTTTTCCCCTGACATTAAGTCAAGTCGTGTCTGACTCTGTTTTCCGTAAATGCCTCCAAGGTCATGTGGCCGGCATGACTGCATTGAGTGCAGTTACCTTCTCGTTGGAGTGATACCTATGGATCTACTCACATTTGCATGTTTTCAAACTGCTAGGTTGGCAGAAGCTGGGGCTAACAGTGGGAGCTCATGCCGCTCCCCGGATTTGAACCTGTGACCTTTTGACCAGCAAGGTCAGCAACTCAGTGGTTTAACCCACTGCGCCTCCAAGGGCTCCGATGTCCTTAAACAGCCCCTTTATTTTGTCTCCCCTGCAAGCCTACAGTAGTGACAGCTTATCTCCATTTGTGCTCTTCTCACACTAAATTGTTTTTAAAATATTTTTCTAAACAGTCAGTTTTGAAAAAAAAGGATCAATTTCTCAAAACTGACATCTTGTCACGAAACTTTAATATGCAGATTTGATCAATGTGGATTTGATATATGGTATGAATGAATTGAATGGATGAATGAATGAATGAATGAGTGGAGTTAATAATTTTGGGAACACCAGTAAAATATTAAGTCCTGCAATGACTAACTCCCTGCTTGCTGGACTGCAATTAAAACTTGCTATTGAGAACTGAAAAGTAAACTGTGATAAGAACTGTGACAATGATAAGGGAAATGTTTACAACATTCCTTATGTTAAGAAGGAAGTCAACACAAAGCTAACACACCAATCAAGAAGAATCAACATCTGCCAGGAGGGGGGAAGACTCAAGATAATTTCAAATAGGACAATTATTTACTACATCAGCAGAAATATTCCTATAAAAGACTTAATCTAATAATTCTCAAGTGTGGCAGAATGCAGTAGTCTGTTCCACCCGCTATGCCGGTGATTCTCAACCTGTGGGTCCCCAGATGTTTTATCCTTCAATTCCCAGAAATCCCAGCAGCTGATAAATGGCTGGGATTTCTGGGAGTTGTAGGTCACAATACCTGGGGACCCAAAGGTTGAGAACCACTGTGCTATGCTCTGCTCCATGGGAAAGAGAGAGATAGTGCCCGTACGGAGAGTGTCAGATTTGCAAGGGAGCAATCTGGTCACTTTGGGGCTTCTTTCTCAAGGGAAGAGGAAGGAGTGCACTTTTGGAGTCTTTGATTTTTGCAGGGAGTCAGGTTCTGCTGTATGGAAAACAGGGATCTGATCCTTGGCATTTTGGAGTTTTGAACTTACGGGAGTTTTGGAACTATGCATTGGCAGGCGGCAGGGAAGCAAGGTCTGGCCTTCTTCTGGATACAGCAGGAGAAATGGTAATGTATGTATAGGGATGAATGCTGAGTATAAATGTAACATTTCTTTGTATGTTTGTTAGCCAATATAATTGTGAATCCGGTGTAGTTACATAGAATCTGTATGTCTAAATGTTTTTCTGTACCCCTTTCTTACACTGGAAGTTGCAATAAAAAGAACCTATGCTTTAAATTTATTGAAAAGTTATTCATGTCAATCTCTCAGTGTCTACTTTGATTCCTCCCCCTTCCTAATTTTATTTATTTATTATTTATTTATGACATTTCTACCCTGCCTTTCTCCAACCCGGAGGAGACTCAAGGCAGCTTTACAACCGTTCGATGCCTTCAAAACAATGTGAAACTAAAACACTAAAATAAAATGATAAAATGCATACATTAAGACATTTAAAATGCATAAAACAATACCTTCACTGTTAGCCTCGTTATCCAAAGTCATAGTCTAAGTCGTTCCAGTATTCAATTGCACCTAATTCTGTATTTATCTATTGCACAAGATCTCCAAAGGCTTGATCAAAAAGCCAAGTTTTCATTTTCTTACAGAACGTCAGGAGGGAGGAGGCTGATCTAATATCCCTAGGGAAGGGGCCACTACTGAGAAGGCCTGTCTCTCGTCCCCGCCATTTTGGTAGCCTATGGGCCCCACAGGGAGGAGACTGACCTCAAACCTGTTGAAATGATCCTCATTGGATTAGAGATACATTTGCTGAGCAAAAGGCAAGGGTGAGAGGAAATCAGGATATGAAGCCTGCTTTTCCATTTCGGACACCATCGGCTCGAAGTTATCAAGATGGGCAAGTTTATGAAACCTGGGAAGGTGGTCCTTGCGCTTGCTGGACATTACTCAGGATGCAATGCCATTATCATTAAGAATATTGATGATGGGACGTCCGACCGTCCATACAGCCATGTGCTGGTGGCTGACATTGATTGCTACCCCCACAGCCAGCATGGGCCAGAAGAAGATTGCCAAACAGTCGAAGATCAAGTCCTCTGTGAAAATCTACAATTACAACCACTTGACGCCAACCAGATACTCCGTTGACATCCCCCTAGACAAGACCATTGTCAACAAGCATGAATTTCGGGACCTTGCTATGAAACGTAAAGCACGGCGAGAGACAAAAGTGAAATTTGAGGAAAGATACAAGACAGGCAAGAACAAGTGGTTTTTCCAGAAGCTCAGGATATGAAATCTAGAGACAATAGTTTGGGTAAAATAAGTAGAGATTTTTAACTTGGAATTGTTATCACTCATACCAAACTATGACATTATTGTTATGGTTACATTTATTATTTTACTCTATTATTACTGTTATTGGTACATTTCCATTATTTTACTCTACTATTACTATTATTATTATTATTATTATTATTATTATTGCATTTATTATTTTACTCTCTTCATTATTACTAGCCGTCCCCTGCCATGCATTGCTATGGCCCAGTCTGTGTATATGTGTTTTGTGTGTGTATATATGTATATATTTGTATATATGAGGTTTTGTTCATGCACTGTAATATATTTTTATTTTTTGGCTTTTGAAGTCTCCTCTGCTATGTTTTTCAGTGTTTTTAAGAGTGATGGTCACTTGGTGGCCTGATAGGTGTCTTGTGTCCAAATTTGGTGTCAATTTGCCCAGTGGTTTGTGAGTTATGTTAATCCCACAAACTAACATTGCATTTTTATTTACATAGATTGGAAGGATACATAAGCACATTGACATTGAAGGAGGTTAGAATAATGGTTTAATCAGAGTCGGACAATCTTATTTTAAATTATTTCTGTAAATATTTAAAAACATTGAACCTATGGATGCCTCAATTAATGTAATTTTATTGGTATCTATTTTTATTGTGAAATGTATTTATTTATTTATTTATTTATTTATTTATTTATTTATTTATTTATTTATTTACAGTATTTGTATACTGCTTTTCTCACCCTGAAGGGGACTCAAAGCGGTTTCCACATAGGTAATGGCAAAATTCAATGCTAGCACAAACAATTACAATTATACAATTACAGTTAGACATAAATCAAATTAAAATACATCCATAAACAGTAGAACAATCATTAAAACAGTAAAACAGTCTCATCCGTCGAATCGCCGTTCCAGTCATTGTCTTTCCGAAATGCTGCATAGATTTGTTTCTACTGCCCGAAGGACTGGTCCCAAAACCATGTTTTTAATTTTTTCCTAAAAGCCAGGTGGGAGGGAGCGGATCTTACCTCATTTGGGAGAGTGTTCCATAGGCGAGGGGCCACAGCCGAGAAGGCCCTGTCTCTCATCCCAGCCAGGTGCATTTGTGCTGTTGACGGGAGTGAGAGCAGGGCCTCCCTGGATGATCTTAGATTACGAGGTGGGACATAGAGGTAGATGCGTTCAGACGAGTAAGCTGCTGAAATTCCCACCCTCAGCTTATACTTGAGTCAATACGTTTTCCCAATTTTTGTGGTCAAATTAGGTGCCTTCTTATATTCGGATCGGCTTATACTCGAGTATATACGGTAGTTAGGTCATAGCTATTAAAATAGCTATTAAAATTAAATTAATTATGAGCAACTCTGTACGTATAAAAAATTATTGCCAACTTCTGTAGCACGTTGACGTTTTTGGCTGATAAACCCAATGTATCACAATTTCTTCGGCCTGACCAACCACTCATTTCCTAGGAAAACAGTTCTGACGTCTTTTTCCATGTTGTTTTTCATCCTGAGACCATTCCCTATGAGACATGAAAAGCAGATGGCTTTTAAATATATATATATATATTAAAAAAAAGGATCGGACATCATCCATAAACAAACTGTGAAGAGGGATGAGCCATGGAGGCGAGGAAGAAGGCTTTAGTGCCCTGGCTTCCCGAATGGGAGCCTGTGGAACAGCCTTGTGCTGTCAGATGGCTCCAAGCAAACTGGCCGCATCTCCACCTCGTCATGCCAGCTGCTAATGCCCAACTCATTCTGCTCCCACCTGCGCAAAATCTCTTTGCGCGCCAACCCTCCATGCAAGAGGGGCTCTCATCCTGTGCCTGCGTGTGTAAGCATGCGCGCACACAGGCCTGTCATTCCCATAGAGGGGCCAGGAATAGAGAGGACAGGGAAGAGGTCCAGAGCCATTCTCGTCATGTGCCTGGAATTAAAAGAGGAGCAGATGGGAGTCTTCCTGTTAGACAAGAGGAAAACATGCCATGCCTATCACGGACTATAAATAAAGGCTACTCATCTTGGGGGTTTGGGATGGTGTTAGCGGTGGGCAACAATCCAAGATGACATTTACGCATCTAAAAATACATTGTGCCCTATACTTCACACGTTTTTGCCTTGTTTTTTTACTCGTGTTCTATTTTGAAATGGTCATATGACTGGTCAAATAAATTATTATTATTATTATTATTATTATTATTATTATTATTTGAAACACAACAAGATGAGTCCATAGCAGACACTCTGCTGGCTGTTGTATTGGATCATAGAATCATAGAATCAAAGAGTTGGAAGAGACCACATGGGCCATCCAGTCCAACCCGCTGCCAAGAAGCAGGAATATTGCATTCAAATCACCCCTGACAGATGGCCATCCAGCCTCTGTTTAAAAGCTTCCAAAGAAGGAGCCTCCACCACACTCCGGGCAGAGAGTTCCACTGCTGAACGTCTCTCACAGTCAGGAAGTTCTTCCTCATGTTCAGATGGAATCTCCTCTCTTGTAGTTTGAAGCCATTGTTCCTTGCGTCCTAGTCTCCAAGGAAGCAGAAAACAAGCTTGCTCCCTCCTCCCTGTGGCTTCCTCTCACATATTTATACATGGCTATCATATCCCTCTCAGCCTTCTCTTCTTCAGGCTAAACATGCCCAGCTCCTTAAGCCGCTCCTCATAGGGCTTGTTCTCCAGACCTTTTATCATTTTAGTCGCTCTCCTCTGGACACATTGCAGCTTGTCAATATCTCTCTTGAATTGTGGTGCCCAGAATTGGACACAATATTCCAGATGTGGTCTAACCAAAACAGAATAAGGGGTAGCATTACTTCCCTAGATCTAGACACTATGCTCCTATTGATGCAGGCCAAAATCCCATTGGCTTTTTTTGCCGCCACATCACATTGTTGGCTCATGTTTAACTTGTTGTCCACGAGGACTCCAAGATCTTTTTCACACGTACTGCTCTCGAGCCATGCACTGTCCCCCATTCTGTATCTTTGCATTTCGTTTTTTTTCTGCCAAAGAGGAGTATCTTGCATTTGTCACTGTTGAACTTCATCTTGTTACTTTTGGCCCATCTCTCTAATCACACATCAAACACTTCCCAAGTGCCTAGGATGATGATGATGATGATGATTATTATTATTATTATTATTCACACAAGACACGAGACATGGGCAAAGATAGGCAACTTGTGGGCTCCCATTCCAATCTGACTTTGTCTGCACAGTCAATAGGGAAGGCCACAGCTGGGAGTTGTAGTCCAGCAAAACCTGGAGGACAACAACTTTATATTCTAGGTTCTTGTAGGTTTTTTCGGGTTATAGGGCCATGTTCTAGAGGCATTTCTCCTGGCGTTTCGCCTGCATCTATGGCAAGCATCCTCAGAGGTAGACCCGAAAAATCCTACAAGAACCTAGTGATTCCAGCCATGAAAGCCTTCGACAATACAACTTTATATTCTGCTGTAGTGGTATAAGAACACTGACTTCCCACTATTCACAGAGTTCATTAAGAAATAGAAGTAAGCTAATGTATTGTTGAAGGCTTTCATGGCTGGAATCACACAAAACTTTCAAGATAGGCCTTAGGGCTCTCTATCAAAAATCTCTAAGTATCTCACGATGTCATAAATCCCAACATATTGCCATGACAATTAAAGTGGCATGAAACTGATATAAGTATGCAGGTATGCCCGATCACCATCTCCCAAAGCAGTCACTCTACTCCAAATGCAAGAACAGAAAATGAAATGTTGGTGGGCAGGAAAAGAGATTTAAAGTTGGACTTAAAGCCAACCTCAAAAACTGTGGCATAGACACTGAGAACTGGGAAGCCCTGGGCCATGAGCGCTCTAACTGGAGGTCAGCTGTGACCAGCAGTGCTGAAGAATTCAAAGAGGCATGAATGGAACCGAATCCTTGGCATTGTAAATTGCCCTGAGTTGCCTGAGGGCTGAGAAGTCAGAATACAAATATAGCAAATATCGTTACAGTCTCTGATCACTGGATCAATTATCTTTAGTAAGAGCCGTTCAGCAGTGGAACTCTCTGCCCCGGAGTGTGGTGGAGGCTCCTTCTTTGGAAGCTTTGAAACAGAGGCTGGATGGCCATCTGTCAGAGGCGATTTGAATGCAATATTCCTGCTTCTTGGCAGGGGGTTGGACTGGATGACCCATGAAGTCTCTTCCAACTTTTTGATTCTATTATTCTAAATAAATAAATAAATAAATAAATAGAGAGCAAAAGGGAGTAATGTGTCAAGAGGAAGGCACATCAAGCCAACCCTGACTGGGACCACCTTCCATCTGGAAATTGATGTCCTCACTGCAGGAGAACATGCGGATCAAGAATAGGGCTCCACAGTTACTACGGACCCACTGCCAAGACACCAAATCTGGAAGACAATCATCCTCGAGCTACCACCAGAAGATCCAACCAGTCCATACTTCAGGAAATAAAGCCTGACTGCTCACTGGAGGGAAGGATATTCAAGGCCAAGATGAAGTACTTTGGCCACATCATGAGAAGAAAGGAAAGCTTAGAGAAGACAATGATGCTGGGGAAAATGGAAGGAAAAAGGGCAAGATGGATGGATGGCATCAGGGCCGTAGCCAGAAAAAAATTTCAGGGAGGGTTGACATTTTTGGAGGGTAGGGTTCAAAATTTTGGGGGGGGGTTGAAAATTTCGGGGAGGGTTGAAAATTTGGGGGGGGGTTGAAACCTGCCTCCTAGCTCACGCTGAAGCAAAGAGCACAGCAGGGGGCAGAGCAACCTTCCATAGCCTGCAGCTCCACCCCTGTCAACCACCTCCACCAAGTCTGGCCTCCTTAATGAGAGCATTCAACAGACACACACCCCAACTTGGTTGCTTCATTACATCGGCTATTGCTGCAAGTAATGACAGTGTGAATAAATTGTCCATATTTGCTTGAGATAGTGCTTACAGTTCTGGGGGTACTCGTAATTTTTTGCATCTCATAGACTTAGC